CATGTGTATGGTGTGTGCCTGTATGAGTTAATGTGCACGATGTGTGTACTGGTGCCCCTTGAAGACCAGAAAAGGGTGTCAGATTTTCTGGAACTTGAATTATAGGTGATTATCAGCTACCTGATGTGGAATGGAACCTGAATCCTCTGCAAGAGCAGTGTATGCTTTTAACTGATGAACCACCTCTCCAGCCCTTCAAGAAACCTCTTAAAGAAAAAATTAGCTGGTAGTATAATCCAGCTAAAATCTGAAATGAACTATAGAAAGATTTTAGAAGGGTTCTTTGATACTTTTTAAAAAACTTAAACAGCATTTTATGTACTATTTCTCCATGCATATCTATCCTTCCCCTCCAGTTTTTCTCCTGTCATGTTTGCACCACTTCACTCCTAGCTTCATGTGCACTCTTGAGCTTGCACATGCTCTTTTACTCTCACAGGCCCCTCCTTCTCTTAATACCCATTGAGTTCATTTAATGTTGTCTGGCTGTGCATGGGTATGAGACTATAGGAGGATGAGCTGCTGTGGGATTCCCTTCTGTATGCTATGAATATGTTTTATTACCTTTGGTTAATAAAGCTGCTTCAGCATATGGCAGGGCAGAAAGAACTAGGTGGGAAAACTAAGAAAGATATAGGGAGAGAGTAGGCAGAGTCAAGGAGACACCATGTAGCTGCCAAAGGAGACAGATGCTGAACCCTTACCAGTAAGCCCCAGCCTTGTGCTGATACACAGATTAAGGATGTAAGAGTCAGTTAGTAAGAAGCCTGAGCTAATGGTCCAACCAGTGTTGTAATTAACATAGTTTTTGTTTGATTATTCGGGTTTGGGTGGCCGGGAAATAAAAGAGCAATCTCCATCTCCAAAGAGTAGTCTCTCATGCAGCATATCCCTGGAGAAAAGTGATTCTCTTTCCTTCAGCAGCCATCAGCTGCTAAGAGCTCTTCAGTTAGGGGTGGGATTTTATGAGTTCCTCCTCATCTATGTTGGAATCTTGTCTGACTTGACCTTGTGCCAGCCCTGTGCTTGTAGCCCCAGCTACCATGAGTTCACGCGTGCAGCTATACTGTCATGTCCAGCAGATACTGTTTTCTACAAACTCTACTTCTTCAAGTTCCCTCTTCCACAGTGGTCCTTGAGTGCTCTCCCTCTCCCTCCCTTCCTCTCTGTGTATGTGTGTGTAATATGGATATCCTATTTAGGGTTGAGCACTCTAGTATTCTGCATGTTGACCAATTGTAAGTCTCAATTGCCATATTCTCCAAAAAGAAGTTTGTTAATGCAGGTTGAGAGATATACTAATGTTTAGGTATAAAGAAAAGAACTTAGGGGAAATTTATTACTATGTCCATTCAACAGAATAGTAATACTATTCTTCCTTAAGGCCTAGGACTTAGCCAGGTATGGGTTTCACTCAGTACCAGGAAAAATTTCATCTTGTGGAGTGAAGTTAGTCCAATCAGAAAGTTAACCCCCATAGCATTTGTGCTACTATTGCACCAGTGGGTCTAGCTTGTAGGGGTCACAGCTGAATAAGACTAATGATGCCTCTTCTCCCCTTGTAGCATCCCTAGAACCTAAACACTTCTTCCCTGTTTGATAGGAGTAGTTGTCTTCTTTCAGGTACAGTTGTCCCTCAGTATCTGAGGGGAATCAGCTCCAGAACCCCTTGTGGGTAGTCTTAGGGTGTTCAGGATCCTTCCAAGAGAAAGTGTAGTGTTTGCATACAGCCTACACTTACAGGCCTTAATTTATCAGATTATTTTTGCTATGTAATTCATTGTAAATGCTATTTAAACTATTACTATACTTGGCTGGGGAGATGGCTTATTTGGTAAAGTGCTTGCCGTGTGGGCAAGATATAGTACTGAGTTTGAGTGGCTCAGTGGATCTGGAACCTGTAAGATATGTATGGCAGACCTTTTATAAATATAAATAAATATATGATACAATTTTTCTTAGCCTATGGCTTCCCTCCCCCAACTCCCCTTGATAGACTATTTCTATGAAGTCCAGTCTGGCTTTGAACCCTTTGGCTCCTGAGTGCTGGGATTACATGTATGTACTACCATGCCTGGTTGGAGTTTGAAAATTTACCTTACTGCTTTTTAAAAAATGGATCAGGGTTTTGTTTTAACATGTTTTAGAAGTTCCTGTACCTGCAGTTTCAGATAAATGAGTTTAAGTATGTAGCAAGCAAAAGTAAAAGAGCAAAGAGTAAGTAACAGATAACATCATCAAATGTGACTGGTGTAGCCTGATTGAGAGTAAACAAAGGTACTGTCGTCAGTGGAGTCTGGCAACACTTAGCAGAAATGGACTGGGGAAAAAGCAGGCAGCTGGAGCTACTGGTTGGAAGGCTCTCCATTTAGTTCCCATTGCAGGCATGTTATACTATGGGATCAACAATAATAACCTCTGTTGGAAAGGGTTCACCTTCTTTGTTCTCAAGAACACAACTACTTGCTGTTTTTCCTTCTCCCTGCTCCAGAGCTCTGGAGAGAGGACTAACCTAGTTCAGGGGGTTTTGGAAGACATTTAATATAAACGTGTTGGAGTCTGAGACAAGGGAGGGCCTCTTCTTTGCCAGTATGTGTTCAGTAAGTTTAAAAGGCATGACAGTTTACAAGTATGCCAAGATCTGTTCAGGTCTTTGGAGAGTTGTCCTGGTTGCCTTAATTTAGCTGGGTTGGAAAGACCCACCCTGAATGGAGATGGTACCATTTCATGGTCGGGATTCAGAACTGTGTAAGAGTTCAGAAAGCTAGCTGAGAAGAAGCAAGCATGGTATATTTGTTTTTCTCTGATATTGACGGTGGATGTGATGGAGGAAGAAATGAGAACAGAGTGGAATGATTCATATAAACATACCCATTACTTTGTCAGTTCAGTTACATAGGTGTGAAGGGCATTCTAGGAATCCAGACTGTAGTATCATTAAGTCAGACATGAAAAACATATAGTTTATATTTTGATTTTTAGAATTATTTATTTTTATTATATATGTGTGGATATTTTGCCTGCATGTATTTATATGTACGAGCCTGGTACTCATGGAGGTCAGAAGAGAGTGCTGGGACTGGAGCACAGGCATTGTTAGCCATAGTGTAGGTGCTGGGAATTTCCCACCCACCTCTCATTCTCTTGGAAACCCAGGCAAAAAGCCCTTTTCTTTTCATTATTGAATACTGACTTCTTTAATAATTAAAAAAAATCCACCTTATCCATCTAGCATAATTTAAATTGTTGTTTTTCTACTCATGCTTGATAGAAATGAATTTGCTCTCAGTGGTGCTAGGGGTGGAACCCAGGGCCTCCTGTATGGTAGGCAAGTGCTCTACAACTGAGCGGTACCCCCATCCCAGTTTGACTCTCAGGAAATGCTATCTCCTTGAAGGGAGTTTTAGTACCAGAGAAACAAGGTCACTGGGGAGGACGAGAAGAGAACTCCTTAGGCTGTATTAATGTGAGGGTAATCAGGAGAATGGTTCCCTTTTTCCCTTAATGGTCCCGCCAGAGACTAGCCTAGCTTTAAGTGTTCTTAGGAGCTGCTGTAGGGAGGGCAGGAAACCTTCCCTGGCCTGCACGGCCTTGTTATTCATGAATTTGGGCCTGAGCATATCTGGAGTACCCACCTTCACAGCTTTTCTGCCTGGTGTTAGGTCTGGTGTTTGATTCTGGTGTCATTTCACAGCCACACATGCTTTTCATATTTTCCAGCATCTTTGATGACAGTCATGAGGGCTTCTTCATAGTCTGCCTACAGCAGTGGTTCTCACTTTTCCTAATGCTGCAGCTCTTTAATACAGTTCCTCATGTTGTGGTGACCCCAAACTATAAAATTATTTTCATTTCTACTTCATAACTATAATTTTGCTACTTTTATGTTGGGGAATATTATTTTCAGATGTGTGACTTTTGTTTACACTGCATTTGTTTAATTCTGTGAAGCTGTGTTACTGTGCCTGTCTAAAACACCTGATGATCCTAATAAAGAGATGAATAATCAATAGTGAGCCAGGAGCAAGGATAGGCAAAGCTTCAGGCAGAAAGAATAAATAGAAGTCTGGGAAAGAAGGAGGAACAAGAGAACAAGGAGAGGATGACATCAGGACTCAGCCACCAGCCAGTCACCGAGTAAGAAGGAAAGAAAGGTATACAGAAATAGAGAAAGATAAAAGTCCAGAGGCAAAAGGTAGTTGGGATGATATAAGTTAATAAAAGCAAGAAACAAGCCAAGCTAAGGTCGGACATTTATAACTAAGAATAAGCCTCCACGTGTGATTTATTTAGGAGTTGGATGGTGCCCCCCCCACAAAAGAAAGCCAAAAAAGTAAAAGTTCACATAACACTATTAAAAAAATAATAATGTAAATATCTGTGTTTTCTAATGGTCTTGGGTGACCCCTGTGAAAGTGTTATTCCACCCAAAAGGGGTTGAGACCCACTGGCCTAGGAGACTTTGTACAGTTCTTTTTCTAAACTCAGTGTTGTGTTTGTCAGTGGACTGAATGTTGGCCATGGCAGCCTCCCTGATGAGAAGTGCTGTGCAGTCTAGGCTGCACGCTAGGTTGCTGCTTTGCTTCTGAGTCTGGTGGTGCTGCTCTGGGTGTGGTCGCTTGGCACAGGTGCCACCTCCAGTTTTCTCTTTACTTGAATGAATGAATTTAGCTCTTCACAATTATCCATAAGCTGAAAAGCAGCCATGTGTTCTTCTCTAAGCTTTGAACTTTACTGTTTAGATGTGAATTGTGGCTCAGAAAGAGCTATATTCTACTTGAAGCTGTTTTCTAGAATTCTGAACACTTTCTCTCTAATAAGTATCATTGTGAAAGAGCATGTAATAGAGATTATTGAGATTGAATGCTTGCTAGCTGTCTGTCATCTTGTTCTACTTTGTTGTGAATTTAGGAGAAGTTGGCTCTTCGACAGCAGCTGAATGAGGCGAAACAGCAGCTCCTCCAGCAGGCAGAGTACTGTACACAAATGGGAGCAGTTACCTGTACCCTCCTCTGGGGAGTCTCCAGCAGTGAGGAAGTCGTCAAAGCCATTCTGGGAGGAGTAAGTTGTCTGGCACTGTTGAATGTGTCTTGTGACCTGAAAGAGACAGCACATCTGCTGTGACATTGATTGCTAAGTCCTGCCATGATGTAAATTTGCTTTAGTTCATTCATCAGATGGTTGCCAAACACCTGCCGTGTTCATTGTGTCACCTGATGCTCTGAGGATGTGTAAAATGAAGTACCGTCCTTCTGTCCTGGCACGCAAGGGGAATTTTCGATATATTAACCATTTTAATATTTATATGTAAGAAATTTAACAACATTAAAAGTGCTCATATGTGTTTTACCTCATGGATAATAGATAATTTAAGAATTTGGCATATATTTGTGTCTAGTATACACACACACACATGTATGTATGTTAGGGAACTTCATAAGGAGAGGAATTTGAAATGGACCTTGAAGAATAGGTAGAAATGGCAGTAAATTGTAAGAACAGTTCAAGAAGACAGAATTAGTCAAATCAAAGGTATAGGTGGGAAGTCTGGCTTGTGTTAGGACTGAAGGTCCCTTGACTGAGTGGAGGGTCATGCACTGCAGCTTGGGAGATAAGGCTTGTTACTGGAATGCTATTTTGTGATTGGAGGTAAGCAGTTGCTGGTCCCTTTCTCCCACCATCACCCCCCCCCCATCCATAAGCAGGAGGGCTGTGGAGTCTTCAAGTGTTTTTGAGTGAGGTGTGTGGCTCTCGGCAGGGCAGATGGGGAAGAAGGAGCCACTAAGAACTGTATGATTGAGACAGGTGTGGTGTCAGGGTGCAGTTGACAGCTAAGGAAAGAAACTACCACCAGCAGGTAGGGTTTGACTCTGGGAGAAGGAATAGAAGTTGAGAGGGGAATGTTTGGCTAAAAGCCAGAGCTACGTTAGTTACTGCTTAGAGGACGCAGTGTTTGGCTTGAGGGAGACTTAAGTGTCCTCAACAGTTTGTTGAACTTTAATAAAGTGTAATTTCCTGGGCTGTACGACATTTTGTCTTAAAGATGATTTCTATGTTGTAATTTATCCCCTGGACTTACATAGTTCTTACTGGTTTCTTAGAAAATTTCTAGAGTTGGGAAACCATCCCTACAGTCAGTCATAGAACATTCTATCACCCAAGAAGTTCCCTTATCCTGTTTTCTCAGGTTTTGTTTTTTGTTTTCACATTCTAAAATGTGCCTTGGTTCTAAATGGTTCTTGACAAATTTATACACATATGCTCACACACACACGTAAAGTATATCTCAGTCATAGATAACTCAAATCTCCCTTCTATTTCTTATTTTCACTTCCTTTTTATACTTCACTAAGTCTAGTTAGTGTTGCTGTGTATGCATGGATGTAGCGCCCACTAGATCATGAACCTACCAGCGTCCACAGCCCTGAAGAACAGTGACTCCTCCAGCAGCCATCAATCGTTAGTAACTCCTCAGTGAGGCATAGTGAGGCATAGTGAGGCATAGTGAGGCATAGTGAGGCATAGTGCCTCATAAGCCCATGTCCCATCCATGCTAGCATGGGGACTGGCTTGATTTGTCCAGGTCTTGTGGATTTTAGTTTGTCACAGCTCCAATTTGTTGGAGGAAGCCGCTTGTTGGTTCCCAGCCGCTCAGCCCCAAAATAGACATAGAAACTGTATTATTCAAATAACTACATGGACCATTAGCTCTAGCTTCTTATTGGCTAACTCTTATATCTTAATTTAACCCATCTCTATTAATCTGTGTATCACCATGTGTCTGTGGCTTACCGGATAAAGTTCTGTCCATCTGTCTCTGGTGGGGCTACATGGCTTCACTCTGACTCCACCCTTCTTTCTCCCAGCATTTGGTTTAGTTTTCCCTACCAACAGGCCAAGGCAGTTTCCTTATTAACCAATGGTATTTACAGCATACAGAGGGGAATCCCACATCAGGTAACGACAGCAGCTTTGAGTTCATGAATGTTCAGAAGACAGCATTTCACAGCATTCCTTTTTCCCTCCAGCTCTGACATTCTTCCACCCGGTCTTCTGTGATGTTCCCTGAACCTTGGTGGTGGTGGTGGACACAGGTGTCCCATTTAGGGCTGAACACTCAGAAGTCACTTATTCTTTCTACTGTGGCCTGGTATGAGTCCCAGCATTGACTGCTTCCCTCCCTGGGAACTTTGAGCACAGGTTTTTTTTTTTTTTTTATAATTGCTTCTGTAATTGCAGCTAGTCTTTTTTCTGTATGGTTTGCACATTTGTGATGTTACATTGGCTTATGTGGAAAGATCTGACACTTGTATTCTTTTATTTTTAAACTTTCAGGACAAAGCATTGAAGTTTTTCAACATCACTGGTCAGACAATGGAGAGTTTCGTAAAGTCATTGGATGGGGACGTCAGGGAGGTTGATTCTGATGAGAATCAGTTTGTATTTGCACTGGCCGGAATTGTAACAAGTAGGTAACTTTTTAGACATAGTGCCATATATCAGGGTTGTTAATTACAGTTAGGGATTTGTGTGTGTCAGTATCTGGAGCACCATGTTCACCCTGGAGTCCATCTCAGTAAGTTGATCTAGGTATTGGGTGTCTCCAGTATGGAAAAGCGCCCCAAGGACTTGTGGTCACCAACACTTATTAGAACTAACTGATCTAAAGGAAACACAGATTGATCTGATCTCTATTTATTTTTATTTATTTATTTTTGGTTTTTCATGACAGGGTTTCTCTGTGTAGCCCTGACTGTCCAAGAATTCACTCTGTAGACCAGGCTGACCTCAAACTCAGAGATCCACCTGGCTCTTCCTCCCAAGTGCTGGGATTAAAGGCGTGCACCACCACACCTGGCTGGTATTTATTTTTATACATCACAGAAGTAAAAGAATAAAAGCCACAGATTGTACATTTAGATGCTTGTCATTTGGAATCCTTGCTGTTTTATTCATGTCTGGCTAAAGCAAAAGCTGTGAGCTAAACTTAAACTAAATTCCACTTAAAGGATTCTAAAAACTTTGTGTTTTCAGTGAGTTTTTCCTGGAAGCTAATAAATGGAACCTCTCACTGAAGAAATGCTTCAAAAGAATTTCATAGAAAAACTATAAAGGAGCTGGCATGGTGGCACAAGCCTGCAATTTCAACATTTAGGAGGCCCTAAGGCAGGAGGATTAAGAGTTTGAGGTCAACCTGGGCTATATAGCAAGACTGTCTCAAAAAACGAAATAAAAAAATAACAGTAACATTCCAAACCTTCAAAATTTTTGTGAGAGATAGACCAGGGACTAGTGATTCCTAGTACAGTAGGTGAGATGACCCAGTGGGTGTGGAAACTCTACTTTCATGAGGTTGACAAAGTGCTTAAATTGCCGGCGGTGGTGGCACACGCCTTTAATCCCAGCACTCTTGCACACGTACCTAGACAACATGTGATCACACATCATCATCATCATAATGCAAGGGAAAAGGGCAGTTTTTTCTCATATTAACAGCAAAAATCATTCTAAGAGTACACAGGATACAACAGAGATGAAAGGTCACAATTTAAGCACTTTGTTTATTTTATTTTATTTTTTTTTTGTGTGTGTATATGTGTAGCCTGAGTTGATGGTGGGTATCTTCTTTGGTTACTCCCCACCTTATTGATCATGGCAGGTTTTGTTGAACCTGGAGCTTAGTGATTCTGGCTAGTTTAGCTTGCCAGCTTGTACCAGCGACCTCTTGAATCTGCATCCCGAGTGCTGAGATTACAGGAAGCTGCCTTGCCTACCCAGAATTTACATGGGTTTTGAGCGTCTGAATTCCAGTCCTCATGCTTGTGTGGCAAGTACTTTGTACCGAGTCATCTTTCCAGCCCTGTGTTGTTACCTTCTTACTGAGATTGGTATGACTAAAGGCCTGTATAGACTACTTCTACTTCTCCTACTCCTTTAAATTTGAGACAAACTGTGTTCAAACTTGAAGTAATCCTGCTGCTTTGACTTCTTGAGTCCAGAGATTATAGGTATACTACTCTACCTGGCTGACATTTTAAAAAATCCCTTAAAAGTTAGTGGTACTTATTTTATTTATTTTCTAAGATTTATTTTTATCCTATCCTTCAGCATAGTTTTTTTTTTTTTTTTTTTTTTTTTGCCTGTATATATGCCTATGCACCGCCATGTATGCCTGGTACCTGTGGAAGCCAGAAGGGACTGTTGGATCCTCTAGAACTGGAATGAGCTATCATGTGGGTGCTTGAAATTAAACCTAGCTCTTCAAGAAGAACAGCCAGTGCTCTCAATTTCTGTGCCATCTCTCCAGCCTCCAGTGGTGTTTCTTGTTGGGTGGATGCTGAGAGTTCATTACTCTGGCTTGACTGGCACTTTGTCTGAAGCAGGGCAGCTCTCTGCCCATTCATCATAGCAACCATATTCTCAGTCTTCCTGTCTCAGCCTCCTGTGTCAGGCCTTAAAGGCTATATTTAAAGAAGACATTTGTACATTTGATTAGTTCTAAAAGTAACCTTAAAAGTCTACTATCCGTGTATTTTGTCATTTTGCTGGTTGAGAATTTAAACTGCATGAATTTCTGGCTGGTGAGCCATGAGGCAGACAGTCACTAGAGGGTAGAGCATCCTGTTGCCCAGCATTCAGGCTCACTTGGCTAAAATCACAGTCATGTATATGTGAAAAGAAGACTTATAGGCTTGCCTGAAAAAGGTTTTCAACTCTGGTGGTGCATTGCTAAAGTGGGTTTGTGCCACAGAAGTTTGTGCTTTTCAGCTCCTGGAGCCATTCAGTGGGTACAGCAGCACTAACGGTCTACATCTCTTCTTGCTTGTCAAGCTGATCTTCCAATTTTACACACTCTCCCAGTTCCTTTTTATCTCTTAAAAGTTCTGAGAATTTCAATAAACCCATGTGTTGTGGGAGCGGCAGGGCTGCGTCCCCGGCACCCGGCCGCCCACATGGCTAGCTTATGCCCGAAATAATTACATGGAAACTGTATTCTTTTAAACACTGCCTGGCCCGGCTAGTTCCAGCCTCTTATTGGCTAGCTCTTAGATATTGATCTAACCCATTTATAATATTCTGTGTAGCTCCACGAGCTGGCTTACCAGGAATGATCTTAACCTGCGTCTGCCTGGAGTAGGAGAATCATGGCGACTCCTCGACTCAGCTTCTTTTTCCCAGCATTCTCTTCTGTTTACTCCACCCACCTATGTTCTAACCAATAAAATGGGCCAGGACATTTTCTTTATTATAATAATTTACCAATGTCCTTCCTCTATCACCCATGTGCAGTATAACACCCAGCTAGGGAGTGGAGCCCTGTCCTTCCATAGTCAGCCTCATGCAGCAGCTGTCCTGGTGGCTTGTTAAATATTTGATCTGGGTTGTTGTGACTTTGAGCATATGCTCCAGGTTGAGCATGTTTGTCCCATATCTCTGCCTGGAAGTCTGGCTTCTTTCATTAGGTGTTTCCCAGCCAGCCTTAGCTCTCTGATGTATTTAAGAAAAGCTGTGATTTTGTAGAATTTTCCTTGTCTTCTCCTCCTTGGGGCAGAATGGAGCAGCTCTTATTTCTAGTTTACCATATTCTAAGTAAAAACTGATATGAAATTTCTTACTTGTTCAGTCATTGTTCCTGTCTTAGTCTTTTTTTTTTTTTTTGCTGTGAAGAAACACCATGACCACAGAAACTCTTATAAAAGAAAGCATTTAGTTAGGTGCTTTCTTACAGTTGCAGAGGTTTAGTGGGAGCATGGCAGCAGGCATGGTGCTGGAGAAGTACTTGAGAGCTACATCTACAGACAGAGAAGATACTGGGATTGGCATGGACTTTTGAAACCCTAAAGCCCAAGCCCACCCCAGTGTTCTACACTTCCGCCAAGGCCATACCTCCTAATTCTTCTAATCTTTTCAACTAGTCCCACTCTCTAGTGATTAAGCATTCAAACATATGAGCTTATGGGGATCATTCTTATTTAAACCACCACAATTCCTAATGACAGGTTAGGAAATGACAGGTTAGGTGCAGCATTGAAAGTCTGGATTTTAAGACAAGATGGTCCACTTCCCAGGTTAGCTCCTTTAGACAGGGTTTCTTCATCTGCATGGGGGACCCTACCTGCTCTGATGGACTTACATCCTGTCATCTGCTGGTCTGTGGCAGGTCATAGCACATGTGAAGTGAGGGATTGTTCAGGATAGGGCAGCCTGAGCAATAAAACAATGAAAGAATGGTGATCTGTGAAGAGTTACTCACCTAACTCACAAGTAGAAAACTTGCTTTTCTGCCTGCTCTTCCTACTTTTGTAGACTCATAAATCATAAGTGCATACCCTGCCTCCTAATCTGGCTGTGCATTTTAGGTAGCATTTGGTAATCATTGCCTTATCAACGTGACCTTTTTTCTCTTCTTTTTTTTAAGACAAGGTTTTACTAAGTAGTCTAAGCTGGCCTCAAACTCACTAGCCTAGGCTGTTCTCGAACATCGAATCCTTCCTCAGCATCTCAAATGTTAGGATTATAAATATGTGACCATGCCCAGCTTTTAAAAATTCTGTATATTAATTTTTTTCATGTTGCTAGGGATTGAATCTTGGGACTGGCCTCATGTATGCATATGCCAAGCAGACTCCATCACCATTCTCCAGCCCCAGCTCTAACATTACATTTTTCAGTTTTAAATAAATTTTGGGATTATAATATAATTACTTCATTTCCCCCTTTCCTTTTCTCTCTCCCAACCCTCCCATCTACCTTTTCTTGCTTTCTCTTAAATTCATGATCTATTTTTCTTATATTTTTGGTTTTGAGTCAGCCTTTTAACAGCTGAGTCATCTCTCCAACCTAGTCTATTTTTCTTTAATAATGTGTGTGTGTGTGTTGTGTGTTCCAAATATATAAATACAAACTGCTCAGTTTGTATAATGTTAATTGTATGTATGTTTTCAGGGGTGACCATTTGGTGTTGGATAACTAATTGGTATGCTCTTTCCTACTGTTTCTCCTACTCCAGCATTCCTTAGTTACCTGTAGTTTTTTGTTTAGGGTTGAGGTCTTGTGAGCTTCCCTATTTCCCTGTTAGCTTGTCTATGGGTGTCATTCTTGTTCAGGTATGGTTTAGGCAGTGACGTTGGTGAGACTCATGGGCATAGCTTCTTTGACATTTCTAGGAGACTTAATCTCACAGCAAACTTCCTGTTCCTTTGGCGCTTATATTCTCTGCCCTCCTTTCTACAATGATCCCTGATCCTTAGGTAGAGGAGTTCTGTTGCTGATGCAGCACCTGGAGCTGGGCTCCATAACTGCATTCGACTATAATGGTCTCCACATGTTAGAAAGGGAAGTTTCTTTGATAAGGGATGAGAGTTATACTTCTGTGTGAGTATAAGGAAAAGCATTTAAGACTGTAGTTAGAATAGCAGGTTTAGTAAAGACGTTTCTTCTCCATGACCCATGACTTTACTAGCCCCAGGTAGTTGGCTAGGTTCTCAGTACCAAGCATGATTTCTCTTAAGTCCAATTTAGACAGTTCCACTAAGTACCACTAGGTACCACTAAGCCCCTTTAGGGATATCTTGCTATGCCTGTCATTGTTGGGGTTCATAGGTATCATAGCTGGGTAGGGCTGTTGGTTGCTTCCTTCCTTTGGAAGCTGCATGGTATCTTCTGATAACATAAAGCTAGTCCCCCAAGGAGGAAGCTTTCAGGTAAGATTCTGCTTGAATCTTCTGGGTTCTGTGTCCAAAGTACATGGTGGCTTCAGCATTAGGGATTTATTTTCTATCTCTGGGGGGCAATCAAGGGAAACAGCAATAGCTTATAATGTTTTTGGATCTCTTGGATCAAAGAGGGTTTCTAATGACTGGTGTTGGGCTTTTGTCAGGTAGTCAAGGCTCTTGTGGGGGTGGGGAACACTCATTGTCAGTCCAGGTGGAAAAAATTCATTTAAACTGTGTATGTATATGTTTAGGTGTGTGTGTATGATTCTTTGTGTTTTCAGACACCTTACTGTGGTTTTACTCTCCTCCCTCCTTCTGTATTTGTCTGCCATCTCTCCCTAATCAGCCTCCCTTACTTGTTCTGTGACAAGCCTAGGTTTCTGGAGCAGGGACAGGCTCTGGTACACACTGCTCTTTCAGGAGTCTTGCACACAGCATGTTTCCCACTTGGCACTGGCATGCGGTGTTGTAGGAGTACTGCGTGCTGTAGGAGGTTTGTGATATTCCTGCCACTCTATTATGTGGGCATAGCAGACAAGTGTAACAAATGTTTGTAGATGTTGCAGGAGATGAAGTCATCCCCTATGACCCTGCCTGACTTTTCATAAAGATTAAAAACTTTATGTTCTGGGGTTGGTTGCTAGAGAGGTGGTTGCTAATTGATATTGTGAGATCACCAAAGGCTTTTTGGTTTTGGTATTCCATGGGCATGATTCTGACCTCTTTGATAATAACTCAGTCATGTTAAGTGTCTTGCTAACTTGGGAAAATTGGCATTGGTCACTTATAATATTCAGTTTATTATAGAATTCTTCTAATTGTCTTGCAGTGTTTTGGCTTTGTAGTGTTTTCTTGGTAACACTTAAGTTAGTGGAGCTGACCCTACACAATGAAGCGGAGTTTTTGTTGGAAACTTGTGTTTCTCTGTAGCTGGATCAGCGAGGAAGTTCCATAGTCAGTATACTGTGCAGGATCAAATGCAAACTGCACACAGTAATGTTGCAGGACTGCATCTGGATTTTACATAGGTCTGTGAATTTCAGTTTAAGACATGGGAGAGATAACTTGGGATTTCATTCAGTCCTGGTAGACAGACCCTTCTGAGTGTTGATTTTGCAGGTGAAGGAAGATCAGAATTTTCACCTTTATGGATGAGTCGCAGAAAATCTAGATGTGGTGCTCTCTGTTCTGTAAAGAACTTGGCTCCAGGATAGCTGCAGAGAGGGCTGTCTTGAGATTAGGTACTTGTCTTAGTCACTGTTCTATTTCTGTGAAGAGACCCCATGATCACAGTAACTCATAAAAGATAGCATTTAGTTGGGGGCTTGTTTACAGTTTCAGAGGATTAGTCCATCATCATCATGGCAGGGAGCTTGACAGCATCTATGCCATTGGAGCAGTAGTTAGAGCTACATCCTGATGCACAGGTGTGGGTAGAGGGAGAGAGGGAAGAGAGAGGAGATGTAGAGAGAACACACTGTATACTGGGATTTGTACAAGTCTTATTTGTATAAGTATTGTGTACAAATATTTGCTGATAAATACTTGCAGTTATGTGTGGATACTGGACTGGTAGGGCTAGTACTGGCTGTACTAGCCCTGGGCCAGTGTAATAACTTGGTCTGGTCTCCACACCCATTTCCAGAGCTTGAAGTATGTAACAAGGTATTTGCTGATCACAATAGGGAAAAACATTTAGGAAAGTCTGTTCAGATTGTTTTTATGCTCTACCTTTGACATATGATGCCCATTTATGTCATAGTTAGAAATCATTAGTCAATTCTTAAAGGATTTTTTAATACTTGATCTCAGCTAGGACTGATCATCAGTCCCACTTCCTGCTTGGACCAGATATCTATTGGTATGGTGTTCAATATGGTATTGGTATTTTGCTGGGCAGGATGCTGCAGGCACCCAGGTCCCAGTGCTCTGTTCCATGGTTTATGACATCACTTTCTGATTTGTAGTAGCTCTTACAGTTGTCAGGTCCTCATTCAGCATCATGTCAGCTTCATGAACAGCACCATTGTTTTTTTTGTATATATCTATCTAGATCTATCTATCTATCTATCTATCTATCTAATCAATAAATGTATTTTTTTTATTGATTGGTTGATTTTTGTTGATCTCTACATTTTTCTCTGCTTCCCCTCTGTCTCTCCCCTCCCCTTTAATCCTCTTCCATGGTCCCCATGCTCCCAATTTACTCAGGAGATCTTGTCTTTTTTTACTTCCCATGTAGATTAGATCTATGTATGTCTCTCTTATGGTCCTCATTGTGGTCTAAGTTCTCTGGGATGGTGATTTGTAGGCTGGCTTTCTTTGCTTTATGTTTAAAAACAACTTATGAGTGAGTACATATGATAATTGTCTTTCTGGGTTACCTCATTCAATATGATGTTTTCTAGATCCATCCATTTTCCTGCAAAATTCAAGATGTAATATTTTCTGCTGTGTAGTACTCCATTGTGTAAATGTACCAC